CGACGGCTCCGAGAACAAGAGCTTTTCGGCTCGGGAACGCTGCTCCAAGCAAAGCTCGGTTTTTTATAAAACCCGTTGTAAGTGAGCTACGCCTACGCTATTTTTAATATATCGTTTATTTAATTATAGTAGCGTTATTAGGAACTTATAATAAGTACTTGGGCTATTATTATGGGTTATATAAGTATTGTTTAACGCTTATATAATAGTAATAATAGCTAGACTATTAATTAGTCTCGGCGAATAATAGACTAAACTCTAGTGGTAATAATACTAGGTTTCGTCGAAGGAAATTATTTTTAAGAAGCGAAGCGCTGTCTGAGTTCGGATTCACCACCTTTTCAAGTGAGTGCATAGTTACTTTCATCTTACACATAGATATGAAGTATTTTAAATAAATTACGTGCTATGTGTGCATATTATATGTATACTTGCTATCTATGCTGGATGAACGATTTTATACATGTTTTAAATGATTTAAACTGTATATATATATCTACGAGAATATGTTGGGTAAAACATGGGTAGATGTAATAGATGGAATATGAGTTGGATGATGAGTTGAGAGGTGCTATAGACCACGAGGTAAGTGTGAGAGGTGGACGATGTGAGAAGCCTTTCCCAAATGATGGCCCCGTCATCTAGCAGAGTATGGATGACAACCACGGACTATTCTAGACAGTCCAGTGGAACACTGGCAGGCTCGCAACCTGTAGGTGTTGTGAACGATGTGTTCACCGGTGTACTCTAAAAACCCATTGACATGTATTGCGAGTGGACTCTCGAAAACGATACTGTCAATAAACGAGATAACCCTAGCAACTGTGCTCGAAGGACAATACTGGTAGCTGCGCCTCACATAGAATGTCACGATTCTGGTAGCTGCGCCTAAGTTATAGAACTAGCAGCTGTGCTTGACAGCTATGTCATTGACAACGATGGACTTCGTGCCGATTCCTTAGGATGATCCTTAGGAATGAATGAACGAGGAATAATTGATTCTTAGGGTAGATCCTTAAGAGTAAAGAAGATAATGGGGATGGGTAATTGGGTTGATTGTTTGATGTTTAAACATAATAATTATATTATTGTGGGTTGAAAACCCTATGTACTCACCAGGTTTCCCAACCTGACCCACTCAGTTTATTTGTATCACAGGTGTCGATATGAAGTTACATTACACTGAGAGATTTAAAAGAGATGTAGATTACTAGTGTAAATGAATGTAAGTTCTGTTTATGCTTATGTTTCTGTATTAACGATGACATCCCAAATGTTTTAAAATGAATAAAAATACATTTCTTCGGAAATTCTTTGATAACGTATTTATCATGTTTTTCTGGGAACAAATTCCGCAAGATTTTTATTAAAAGAAGTACTCTGATTTTTATAAAGCATAAACAAAATCGGTCTTTTCTGGCCGTGAAAATGGGGATGTCACATGTGATGTCTTGGATAAGACAAAGACCAACTAAGACCGATTATGTAAAGTGTTTGTCTTGACAGGAACACGCACTAACCCTTGAATATTTGTTTTGTCAAGGAATGTTTCTTGACAAGAGAATCTTATATGTCAAGAGGTCAGTGGGAGTCTTAAAGATCTTGAAAACGTTTCAAGAACTAATCAAGAGTAGACCTAATTGTTTATCACTAGCACACGACTTGAGGTTTATAACCTATCGTATTGACATATTCTTGTTTCTGTGCCATTACAGTTGAGTTGACTGTGCATGTGAGTTCTATGAGTTCTCATTTGAGTGCATAAAGGCAAAGTACCTTAATCAATGAAAGTTCATCGATCTGTAAAGGTGAACTGCTGAACAACTTGAAAGACATGGTAGGCCCTTGTGTTGCCAAGTGGCAAGAAATTAAGAATGAACAAGTTCAGTCCATATGAGTTGGGATTTGTCACAAACATTGTCTTGTGATTATGGATGTGACAAATTCACATGGATAGGAACATATATACCATAAAAACTAAGTTTCATAAGGTTTCTCTCCGCTTCATGAAAATGATTGTGAGGAAACGCTTTCACTAAGAAGATTTTAAGGAGATAGCATTATGTAAATTGCATTCTCAAATTCGATTTTGATCACGGCATCCCTCTTCATAGTTCGAATTGTGAGAAATGGAAAAAGGGTCTGAACATTTGGGACTTATTGTTGTAAGTTCTAGAATTGTTTAGATACACATATGAGTTATATAAGGAAAGGTGTATGAGTTTGAGAAGCTTAGATAAAGACTTATCAAAGCATCTCGTATCAGAAATATGAATTTTCGTTAAGAAATTCAATAAGTATTGTTTTCTAAAAGTTCAGTTGATTTCTGGATACATGTCAAATCTAGTGGGAGCATAAGTGTTATGTCGGTAAGGATATAATCATCATGTTAGTGGGAGCATGATTATTATTTTAAGTGTTGCAAGTTAGCAATATTAATTTAAGAAAACAAAAAATTTCACTTTGCAAAGTTGCAGGGGTTGAAAGGTTGTGTTGCTATAATTAAGGGAGAGAATATTATACTTCATTTCAAATCTAAAAGCTTAGATCGAGAAATTTTAATCAAATTTAGTCAAAAGATATATATGGATGTTATGTTGAAAAGATTCAACATAAGGGAATTCTATATATGACAATATTATAGCAAGAAACTGGTAAAGTATCACGTTTTTCATGAATCGTGTCCCATACGCTTTTGGTATAGGATCGATTGCATATGATGTAATAGTCGACCGTTATAAACTTTCCAAATGCCTAGGGCATTAAGAGGGAAAAAGAACTAGAGCCGGAAATGACTAAAATAATTAAACAACTATCGAGGACAATCTAAGGTTTGCTAAGGGTTGGTCCTTGTGGGCAGTTGGAAGTATAGTAATGGATGGACCATATTGACATTATTATGAATAGATAGGACTCTATTTAGAGTATTGGATTAAACCCACGCTCACTTGAATCACTTCATGGATTTTATCACAGGTGATTAGTGAGACGATAATATCTTATATTCTTGAAACCGAGACATGTGAGTTGTAATTTACAAGTCGGTTGCACATTGATAATATGTAAACGCACCAGTAACTTGGTGTTATAAAACATATTGTTGTCTGTGATTTGATGAGTAGGTACAAGCGAGCATTTGAGTCGAAGTTTATCCATTCCTTTTACCCAAAGTGGGATAAAAGCGATATATGTGGGCCCCTCGATGATTTAGTAATGACAACCCAAAGCGCTTGGCCAAGCCTGGACTGATTTGATCTGTTCAATTAGTCAGTCGTCATAAATCGAAAATCGGGAAACAACACATGAACAGAGAGAATGATTATAATCCATGTCTCAGTTCATACGATATCTTGAGAATGGAGGAATATATGATCCTTTATCTAAAGGACGTGTCAGAGTTCGATAGCGGATTTTGAGAGCTACGATTGCTAATCAGATTTTGAAGTCGTACTTGCAATTATAGTTATTAGACTTATACAAGTGGAAGACTGTTGGATTAGGTGTCTAAGCCCATAACTATATTTGGTATGTACTTAACCCGATTGTAGCATGATCCTTTTGGGTTGCCTTCACACTGGTGACTAGACAGGATGACTATTGAGGAGAGAGGCTGATTTATTATTAAGAATAATCAATTGGGGCATAAATATGATTTATTAATATATTATATGAATAATATATTAATTTCGAATCATATTATTAATTAGTATTTAATCAGAAATTAATTTGGAATTAATTTTAGGATTAAAGGAACTGATTAAAAGTACAGGGGTTGTTTTGTAATTATTTGACAGTTGAGGCTTTGGGCCATTGGATCACCTTTATTAGGGCTAGGCCGAAAATCCTATAAGGATCTAGGAGTTTTCGTCCAAGGGCCTAATGTAAGGAGGTCCATGGACTTGCTTAGGCCCTAAGCTAAGGGATTAGGGTTTCCACCCTGAAACCCTAACTAGCCTCAAGTATAAATAGACCCCCTAGGCTCTAGATTTTGTCCAACCCTTGGAGAAACCCTAGAATAGATGTTTTTGGAGCAAGCTGCCCTTTCTCCTCTCTCTCATATTCATCCTCTCACTCAAGTGTGTTTGTGAGCCATTAGAGGTACTACATTTGTGGTACTTGTTCTCAAGAGCAAAGGAACTTCAAGATTTAGTTGTTATTCCTATATAGCAACAAAGGTATGTAATCTAATCCTTTTGTTTGTGTATTTCGAAATTATTAGATGCATATTAGGGTTTTCTCTTGTGTTCATAAGTTGTATGTCTAATAGTGAAAACATAGATCCAAACTAGGGTTGCATGCACACATAGGATATTTTGTATAAAACCCATCAGTTATACTAGTGATCTGTAGATCGGCTTGACTGTATGTAGATTGTTATGTGGTTATTTGATATGTGTGCGCATGTTTGATTGGTGGTTGAGGCATCTGCTTGAGCATGAGCCAACAGACATGGGCATTCCAACCCGATGGTTGTGGGCCGAGAGTTTTCCATACTGAGGATGATTGGACTCTTAGTATGTGGGCATTCTAACCCGATGGTTATGGGCCGAGGGTATACCATCCCGAGGATGATTGGACCCATAGTATGTTGGCATTCCAACCCGATCGTTGAGGGGCCGGGGCATTCCAACTCGATGGTTGATTGGGCCCATAGTATGTTGTTATTGTATATGTGTTATATGTTTTGCGGGTATTTTGGGGGAACTCACTAAGCTTCGGGCTTACAGTTGTTGATTTTGTTTCAGGTACTTCTGACGATCGCGGGAAGGCGAAGGCGTGATCGTGCACCTCCTTATGTTTTTATGATTTGATTTATGGGATACTCTGACATGAAACTATTTTGAAAACAATCTATAATAACTATTTGGTTTTGAATGATTTAAAAAGTTTTAAATTGGCTTGAATTTTAAGGGTGTTACACATACTCCAAAATCTCTTTGTTGTCTGAGAACTGATTCCAAGCACGATTGATCCAATGATCAATGGTAGGCTTCAAATAACTATAACTTTTTAAACAAAAAATCAATTTTCTCCTTAAAATCCTAAAAAATAATATTAAAATCAAAAGATGATATAAAGAAATGATCAAATATAATATGATTCAAAAACATATATACCTCTAAAGACTTTGAACCATCAAAAATAATATGAAATCGAGGAACAGAAGGACTGCTATCCATCCAATCTTCAATCACATTATAATATTTATCAAAAACAAATAAAAAAATCAAAATATATATTAAAAACTTAAAAAAAAATAAAACTCACCATCATTTCTCATTTCATCATCAATTATGTTCTCTTGAACAAACTTCTTTCCTTTATCAGCATTATCCACAAAAACATGAACTGATTCAAAATATAAAAGTAAATAAAAATAAATACAAATAAAAATAAATAAAACTTACCATTATCTCTCACTTGATTCTCCTTTGTGTTATCTCCAACAACTTTTTTTCCTTTGTCAGCAAAATCCAAAACAAAAGGAACTTCATTCTCAATTGATTTCTCGTGAACAATATTGATTCCTTTTTCAGAAAGATCCAAAAAAATAAAATAAAAAATGTAATAAATTACAAAGGAAAATAAACATAATAATTAATTGAAAAATCAAATTAACTTCAACTTGTTGAGCTTCAGATTTTTTTCTTTGAACTTTTATTCATTTTTTTCAAATGAATATTATTTCTCATCTTTTTCTTATTTGTTTTCTTTTTCATAACAACAACATATTTGTTTTCTTCATTCTCTTTCATCTTTTTCTTTTCCATTCTTCTTCTCAAAACATTAGCAAGACTAATGTGTTCTTCATCTACAAATATAAAAAACAATTTTTTATTAAATTAAAATATTAAAAAAAAAATTAAATAAGATTATAATAATAAAAATATTTCATAAAAATGAAAAAAAATATAAACCTGTTTCTGTTTCAGAATCTTTAACTATTGCATCATCAACAAAATCTTCATATGTTTGAATGACTTCAACTTTTTCATAACCTCCATCACTAAATGCTTCTTTCAATTTATCTTTAACTTTAACGGGAGACCAATAAGATGATGCAGGATATACCCTTTCAAATGACTCTGATGATGACTTTGTGCAATGAAGATACAATAACTACATAGCATGAAAACAAAATATAATTAATAATTAAATTGAGAAAAAATAATTCAAAAAAAATATATAACATTTAAACTTACCACTAAAAACGCAACAGGACCAGTGTCTTGAGGATTCTTGACATGAATTGAATCTGATTCAAATCTCAATAACTTTTTGCTCTGATTTAAACAAGCAATTACAAAGCCACACCAATCAAGATCTTTAATGGACACTTCTTCATAAAAAAAATTCTAAAATTTTTTGGTTGCATGTACCTATAGATGGACCATCAACCATGATGGTTACATATGCAACCAAAAAATTCAATAAAAACATGAAACCTGAATCAGTGCTTTTTTCTAAAAGCTCTCTGAGATTAGGAAGCCTAATCCTAGAAATAGAAAACTGATTCCTCCAATTTTTAATAACAACAATCCCAGAACGACTTTTCTTAGGAATTTTCATAGAAATATCACCCATTGGAAGTCCATATATGTCATGCACACCTCTCCTAGTAATATGAATATCCTTATTGTTGATACAAAGAACATTTCTCTTTTCATCATATCTCTCAAGAACCCACGAACAAATTTCCCTAGAAAATTTTTTAACGACAAAGTCTTCAACAAATCCAAACCTTATTTCCTTAACAACATCTTTCTGATTATCATTAAGGCTTCTGTATATACTAGATACTAAACCTGGAGGATACCTATATACAATTTCAGCTTTCTTAACATTTACTTGACCGACAACAGGAACAGAAACAAAATCATCATCTTCATTTGGACTTTTAATGACTTTGGAAACCTTCTTAACTTTAACAATTTTGACTGATGAAGTTCCTTTGGAAGAAGATGAAATATCTACAAAAGACTTGGACCTTAATGAAGCCTTTCTATTAGAAGAAAGATCAATAATATTGTCTTTTGCATCTTTCTGAAGAGCTAATCTCTTCCTTTTCTTTGATTCAACTACATATAAATAAAACAAATAAGAAAATCATGTTAAAAAGGAACAAGAAATATGAAAACAAACATTAAGAAATAAAAAAAAACAATTGTTGTAAAGATTCTTATCATTACAATGATTATAAAAGATAATTTCTAACATGAATAATAACTTAGATTACCTTGGATAACAAAATAAACATCTACACTCATATTTATGACTGCTAAAACAAACAAATATGAATTCCTTAAATGTATATAGATAACAACTACCTTTTTTTAATAATGCTAGAAACAAAGAATCAATATATGAAAAGAAAGCAAATAATAAAAGCACACTTTATACATACAAACTATAAACAATAATCAATATATGAAAACCAAGTCATACAAACACAAAAAGTAGACAACATAAAACAAATACTAACATAACAAACTAAAAATTGATATTAAAAACAAACAGATAAACATGCAAATTTGATAAAATTATGTTTACATAAACAAAAAACGATATCAAAAAGTGACAATATCAAGTAAACTAACAATTTCAGAAACGATAAATAATAAATTGAACTTCAAATACATTCATTAACAAAAAAACGAAACAAAGCAACAGAGATATCAAAAAGTGACAATATCAGATAATCTAACAATTACAACAACGACAATCAATAAATGGAACTTAAAACACTTCGATTAACAGAAAATCGAACAAAAAAACATAGACAAAGACAAATACAGAAAATATAGCAAAAAAGAAAAAACTAGGGTTTCGTAATAATTAAAAAAACGAAAAAACTGAATAAATGACAAATAATCGAAGAATCTGAACAACAATATAGCAAAAACTAACAATAAGGACTTTGATTATACATAAAGAAATCAAACACGAACTTAATAACATAAAAACTAAAAAACAAAAATGTACTTGCTTCCATAAGATCAACACGAGAACAACGAATATTAAACACGATGATTGAAAGAGTATTACGACTTCGAACGACAGGATTATACGATCGATGCTTGAGAAATTCATACACTAAAACAGCGAAGAAGAATGAAGAAAATGGGGGGAGAACGAAATAAGACGGTAACGAGGGTTTATTTTTTGCAAATGACGATTGAGCCCTCAAAACAATTACCCCTCGACGGAAAATGGCAAAAAGTTCGATATATTTTCAAAAATGTCACCGACATTTAAAAAAAATACAATTAAATAAAAAAAATCATAACCATTCAATTTTTTAGATGGAGGGCCACGATTAATCCTCGCAGTCCTCACCAGGAGTCCTCATCCGATCCGATCTCTCTCTCTCTTTATATATATATATATATATATATATATATATATATATATATATATATATATATATGTGTTATTCTATTCAAAGTAATTATTGTGTTATTGTATGCATAACTATGGGCCAATCAATTTTACTTATTTTAAGAAAATGATTAATATATATTATTGAATTAAATGTAATTGAAAAATATCATCTAATTTAATTACAAGGGTATTTTAGTTAATTAATATAGATTTAATAAAGGAAAATTGCATATTTTAAGGGATCATAGATTCTATTAATTTTAAAAATCCGATTTTACGAATTATAACTATTTTAATTCGGACATTCTGATAGAATATGTTTATTTATTTAATTATTTACTCAAAAATAAAAATATTCTTGAACCATAAATTATAAACATATTCTTGAACCTATTTCTTGATCATGAATTTAAAAACTTCTTGTAGAATAACAAATTCTTGAACAATAAAAAAAAATACATTATTTCTTATAGAATACGGGTAACAATTGTTAAGAATTACATTTATTGTTAAAGAATAAAACTAAAAAATTTTTAAAACGGGAAAGAAAACATCAAAATCTAACAACGACTAATACATTCTAAAAGAATAATGTGGTCCGTTTCAATTTTGTGGTCCGTTCTTCAAGCATCAACTTCTGTGCTTCCAACAGAATAGGAATTCGTGATTCCATTCCAACAGAATTGGAATTCGTGATTCCATTCCAATAGAATTGGAATCTCACCAATATCATCCATTGAATTATCTACATAAACATACTTGATACCTTTTCAGAATTCAACCTTGTCAAGATCCTGCACTGTCCACATAAATGAAGTGTTAAATCAGAAAAAAAAACATAAATTGAATAATGAATCAATTCATAAAATGCAGCCAAACAAATTGGAATTACCTCATAAGCCTCGTTTTTTCAAAGCCTGCAAACACTTTCAAATTGAACATATTAAAATAAAACATCAAATCCATCTATTTCAATATGTCTTTCTAGGAACCCACACAATGGATAGTCTTGCACAGCATTATCATAACATAATAGAATATGATAAAAAGCTTTCAATAATTAAAAAGCATTAAGTAAAATGTAAACAATTACAGTGGTCAAAATAATCACCTTTAAACAATTACTTTCATACTCCATGGGAGAAATTGATCTCCACATTGTCTTCTCAATTATCGCTTTGTCTGATATTTAGTTCTCAACTATCGCTTTAATATTATGCAAAAGGAAAATGACTAATTACCAAACAGAGGAGATCTAATTATTCCAAATTATGTATCAAATAATGATTTTTCTTTTTGCAATCAAATAAACCCAAATGAACTTTGATAATATTTTTTAACGTTCATTTAATTTAAAGAAAGGAAACGAGGGATCAAACCTGTTGGAATCGACCGAACATACAAATCGCTCTACGAGAACCGGTTTCTTTGAATTCAGATCGTACAGCTTCAAAAAACCAAATTAATGTTATCACATATTTGAAAATAATCTTGAATCTAAACTATCTAATTGTAGATCATCGGTTTGTTTTGGCTACACCCACCTGCAATCGGAACACAAAGAAGAAGGGTAGGCTGCGTTCAATTCATGCTACAAGATGGAGGGTCGGCGGTGAAGAGGTTGTTGGTTTTTTTGGCCACCTGTGAGCTCTCGTAGGAAGAAGTCACCGGAAAAGGGTGTCTGCCTTCTTCCTTTCCTTCTCCATTTTCTCTTTACCAAGAAATCAAGAGACGGGCTCTCTTCCTTCCCTGCAGTCGATTAAGCAACCCAAAAACACCCACCTAAGTTCTTTGATTTCTATCAAAACAAACAAAAGAAGAAAAAAAACCTCTTTACCTGTTTGATGATTCACTGCTCCCTTTTCCCTTCTTCATATCGCTTCCTGCCAAGAACCACTCATTCAATGTCGCCTCTTCCCTTGTCAAACAATGAACTCAAACACCCATTACCCCTATCGATTCCTGTCAAAATAACCCCAAACATGCATTCCATTCATCAATTTTTGTCATGAACAATAAAAAAAATTATAAAAAAAAGAAGAAGAATAGGGGAGGCTCTTCCCTGTTCTTCGGACCATTCGAACATCGGTAGTGCTCACCTCCTTACAACTTTAGCCACCGAGAATCGACTTTAAATCAGTAGCCGATTGGCGATGAAGATTGATCAGATCAGTAGGTCGTTTATAAAAGGGGGGGAATTAGGTTAAAATCAACGTAACTAGCAAAATTATAGGGAGTATTTGTGGAAGTTATTTCTCAAATTACCTAGTTACCCTTATTGATTTATTTAATTATTGTTTTTTCTATTATTTTTTGATTGGTCCACAATCATGTATACAATAACACAATAATTAGTTTAAACACCTGAACCTATCTCTATCTCTATCTCTCTCTCTCTCTCTCTATATATATATATATATATATATATATATATATATATATATATATATCCTATCCTAATAAAAGAGTACCTCTAATGCCACATGGCATCTCCTCAATCCTTCTCAGGTTTTTCTCCCGCCTAGAATTTTATAAGTGAAGTTCCCATTTTGTCCTTCTTCCTTATGCGTGAAATTCGTTCTTTTGCTTAACAGTCACAATTTCTTCTTATCAATCCCTTTAAACGTGGAGGTAAATTGGATTTAAATCATGCGTTATCTTTCTCTTCGGTAACCAAAATCGCTTGAAATCGTGGCGCAAATCATCTCCAAAATTGAATTATAACAGAATATATTTTGTCAGTCATCACCACCACACCATTACTGCTATATCACGATTGCTACTACACTGTTTTCACCACCACCTCCATTCTTTTTCAGCACCAACGTTTACCTAGAGATGACATATTTGCTCGAAAAATATTTAATCAACAAGAGGAATCGATGTTCAAGGTAAATATTGATGCCCGTTATGTGTTTGATGATATGTCTATTACAGTTTTACCATGTTTTTCTTTTACTCTGTTGTTTGATTTCTTGATCATTGTTGTTCATTTGCATCTCACGCTAACATAAAGTAGAAGAAACGACACCAGGTATGACAACTTGGATGATTTTATCCCTTTGCGAAAGGTATCATCAATTCATTCTTCTTAGACAATCCTTTTTAAGGTTTTATCTTTTCACAACACTTTCATTTGATGCAAATGACTGACAAAATATATTCTCTTATAATTCAATTTTGGAGATGATTTGCTCCACGATTTCAAGCGATTTTAGTTACCGAAGAGAAAGATAACACATGATTTAAATCCAATTTACCTCCACGTTTAAAGGGATTGATAAGAAGAAATTGTGACTGTTAAGCAAAAGAACGAATTTCACGCATAAGGAAGAAGGACAAAATGGGAACTTCACTTATAAAATTCTAGGCGGGAGAAAAACCTGAGAAGGATTGAGGAGATGCCATGTGGCATTAGAGGTACTCTTTCATTAGGATAGGATCTGTTACAATATAATATCTCGAAGTGTGATATTGGAAGTAATATTGGAAACTGGATTTTTTTTCCAAGAATTTCTTTAAGTAAATTCCATTTTTGATTATTAGTATTAGTTTAATAAAATTTATATTTTATTAATTTAGTAAAAATTTTAAAAATCAATTTTTTGTTATCATTTTCAATTATCAGTTTTTTGTATATTTTGTATATGTGGTTTCCACGGGTTGTAACTTAGTTGGCTATAGACGAGTCCAAAGCCCGGTGATATTTGTTTTCTAAGATGGTCAATCGGTCATCACTCATTATGTTGGGTAAATTACACCAATCGTCCCTTGTGTATATGTCAGAAAGCGTGTTTAGTCCCTATTTCCAAAAATTAACTCAGACCGTCCCTGGTTTGATTTAACGTTGCACGTTTCATCCTTGAAAGACAATTTTGTTGCGAACTTAGTCCTTGCCAAATTTTAAATGACCATTATGCCCTTGTGTTTTTATTTTTCAATTAATTTATTATTTATATTATTATTTTCAATTAAAAAATAATAATAAATGCCCCCATCTCCTTCACTTTCCCCAACCAATCCACCTTTCATTATTACCGATCGGAAAGAAACATACAAACACACACACACACACACACATACAGTCACCGGCCACCCTCTGACGAACCTCTCCCACCCTTTCACTACATTACTGATATAGAAAGAGGAGACCTACAACTCGTTGATGGTGTGGGTGGGTGTCGAAGTGTATATCATTGGTGGGTTAACGAAGATTGGAAAAGAGTGAGTAGGTGAAGGAAGAAGGAGTGGTGTGTTTGCTAGAGAAAGAAGAATGAGGAGCACCAATGAGGAATTAAAGAGGAAAGCCTACAGCAACTAGGGTTTTGGGTGGTTTTCGGAGTGCGGATCAGTCTTCGGCCTCCTCCACCTCCAAGAACATAGGGTTTCACGAACACGATCATCAACATCGATTAGGATTTTAAACCGACTGAAGCTATCGATCTCCTTCTTCATCTGTACGCCGACATCGATCTCCATCAGCTAGGGTATTGAGATCGATGATTTCTAACATATGTTTTGATCGATTTCTAATAGATGTGTAGATCGATCAGGGCCTCCATCGTCACATGGATGATGTCATCGGAGATGGAGAGGGTGACGTAGTAGCAGGATGTATAAGGTGCCGATTGTGGTTTGGTTCAATGATGTAGGTCTGCGAAGGAGGTGAGAATGGGGGAGAAGGGAAGTGGTGTACTGTGATTTAAGGGTGATAGAAAGAGGCCGTTGGCGGTTTCCAGCGATGCTTATGGTGTGTCGATCTTGAAGGTAGTGGTGGTGCCTAATGGAGGTTGTGGCTATCGATATAAGGGGAGGGATGGGGGTATTTGTTTTATTTATTTATTTTTTTAATTTAAACTGATACATAAATAGAAGAAAACGAAAAAAAAATTATTAAGGGTAAAATAGTCATTTCATGTCCATAGGGACTAAGCATGCAATAAAAAACAAACTCAGGGACGGTCCGAGTTAATTTTTTAAAATAGGGACTAAACACGCTTTCTGGCATATGAGGGACGATTGGTGTAATTTACCCCGTTATGTTATATATTCCTGAACAAATTTATACTACTTTTCTTGAAAAGAAAATCATGTCAGTTTAGTATAAGTACAGGGGCTTGTATTGAAACTTTACATTTTCGGTTTATAATCCAACCCGGCGGTTCTGTTCTCCGTTTCACCGGTGACGAACAAAAGCAAATCCAGCTCTTCACTTTCTCTTTCCAAGGTTCATTTTCTTCGTCTTGATCCGCAGAACATTCTTAATTTAATATAGAATTCCATTCCGATTTGCATATTCATGTCTATTCGTCTTGTGATCTGCTTTAATTTTTGTAATAGTTGATGTCATTTCGTGTTCCCCGGTCATCTTTTCAGTTGGATCTGATCGGCAGACGTGAAGCTTCTATTGGATAGTTTCAACCATGGTGAGAACTCAAACATTTCTCTTTTTTGATAATTACGTTTTTACAAAGCGTTGTTGTAGAATTAGGGTCTGTAAAGGATATCCATTCATGAGGATTTCGTTTCACTTTCCAAAGTTCTCCAGGATTGGGATACATGAAAATGTCTGTTTACGCTTGAGGACATTGTGTTTTTTGCACTGAAATTGTAATGTGAATACAATGCCTCTTCTTTTGTTGCAAAGTGAGCCTGATCTCTGTATTCGTAAAATGACTATATCAGAAAAAGATAGATACAGATGTTACATCATGTTCTACTTAGTACATGTTGATGTGATCACTCCACATGTCTAGTGGATGCTAGTTAGACACTTATGCACTTCAGTGAAGCCCATTGTCATAGGTATAGGATGATTGTTGTACTGTGTTTCTGGACTTGCTCTAGTCTTTTGTTTGAGCAAAAGGCAGGAATGCCCCCTCCTCATTGAATGTGTATTTGTGGTTCATGTGATATCAAGGTTTGATGTTCATCCATTACTTTAATGTCTTGAGCTTCTTCTACCTCCTAGCAGAATAAAAAATAAAAAAAGTGGTAATTTTAGGTTGACACTTATTTTCTTGTTGCAGATTCAATTTGTTCTCTTAATAAGTCGACAAGGAAAGGTTAGACTGACAAAATGGTATTCACCCTATTCCCAAAAGGAACGAAGTAAGGTATGTTATTCTCCTTATAAATTATGTCATACTCTTCACACACAGATTATTAACTATGTGATTTTTAATTACAAAAAAAAAAAAAAAAAATTGTATAGGTTATAAGAGAGCTCAGCGGGATGATTCTCACACGTGGTCCCAAGCTTTGCAATTTTGTTGAGTGGAAGGGATTTAAAGTTGTTTATAAAAGGTATATAATTGTATTACACTGGGACTGATGTCAATGAGACAAAGGTTGCAATTTTTTGTCTGTGCAAAAGATATGAATGCCCTCCTCACTGTTATCATTGGAAATAATACTTTAAATCTGAGTGTTTTTTACTTGTCAGATATGCAAGCCTCTACTTTTGTATGTGTGTTAACCAGGAAGACAATGAATTGGAGATTCTTGAAATCATTCATCATTTTGTTGAGATTCTTGATCGTTACTTTGGAAGTGTGAGTCATCTAAACTTGGTAGAAATTAAATTAAACATATATTATTAAAATCAGGAAAATGAAACTAATTTGGAACTTATTTTGGCTAGGTTTGTGAGCTGGATTTGATCTTTAATTTTCATAAGGTATGTTAGCTCAATATATGCCCATGAAAAAGTGAAACAGTTTTTGTTTTTGGAAAATTTCATGGTGCAATTTAATTTATATTTAAATAATTCGTTTTTATTATAACTGAAATAAATTATTTTATTTCAGTTTATATACCTAACGAGGGTATTTTGGTCTTTGGTGCAGGCGTACTACATACTGGATGAAGTTTTAATAGCAGGAGAACTTCAAGAATCAAGCAAAAAGACAGTTTCCCGTTTAGTTTCTGCACAGGTAATATTTACATTTTTATTTTTATTTTTTCATTTAACATTAAACATTTTAATTTTAAGTTTTTGCAGGATTCTTTAGTGGAGGCAGTGAAAGAAGAAACAAATTCTATAAGCAATATAATTGCACAGGCAACCAAGTAAACTCCAACTTCATTTTTTTTGGGGTTCTCCTATATACATGAATTAATTCGTGTATTAAACTCAAATCAGTAAACAATCATTAGAGTAATGAATTCATTACTGCACAATCGATCATATACACTTGTCACTTTCATAATTTCTATTTATTTTTATTTTTTTTCATTTTGTTCCCTTTAAACTAGTTGAATGTTACAAAACACACCCTTTTGTCACTTTCATATTTGTTATTGTTTATATATGTTTTTCATTTTGTTCCCTTTAGACTAGATGTAAGTTACGAAACACACCATTATGTTTTTATTCTTTTAAATTTCGATAAGTTTATTTGAAATATGTAAATAAAAATATATGCTAATAATCTTAATAATCTTAAAAAATATATGTTAATAATTTTTTATTTTTAGTACCACTATAAATTCAAATTCATTTTTAATAAAGTTTCTTTTTTCACTAAATGTTTTAAAAAGGATAACATAGTTTAGATTAGGGACGTATTTAATCATTTATCTCTATTTTTTGTTGTACATAAAGGTTCTATTATAATGTATAGTAACTTGTCAATTATTTTTACGCCTACTACTTATAATAATAATATATATTATACATTTAACTTTTCAATCATTTTACTGTTGAAACCTCATCACCAAATATTAAAAAGGCTTTCATTATAATGTTCCATCATCAGGGTTCCATTATGTGTGCCAATATATGGTTCAATCATCATGTTGATAAGGTTCAATCGTTCCATTATGTGTGCCAATATATGGTCCAATGATTATGTTGATAAGGTTCAATCATCTTGTCAATATATGTGTGTCAATCAATCTAACAACGAAATGTAATATTACAATTGTATACCTCTGGTTTTAGTTATAGTTTTAGAAAAGACATGCGTTCTTTTTTTTTTTTAATTTATATGTTAAACCCTTAAAACTTTATTAATTTTAAAAACTAACAGATAGAAACATATTATTTAATCATAAAAGTTGTATAATTAAAACGATCTCATAAATATATTTACAAGAAGAGTAATAATGAATATTATTAAATATTAATTAAAAAATTAATTTGTTAAATAAGAAATATAAACTACGAAACATTAACAAAAATAGAAGGGATAAAAATGAAAATTCGATTAGAAACAAAATATGGTACAAAAAAAATATCATAAAATCGATTAAAACTAGCATCAATATACATGGGAAAGGTGCAACGACAATAAACGATGCATTTTTTCAATATAACAAAAAGCCAAAAATATAATCACAAGGGCCAGAAACTCAACCATGACTACTACTCCAAAAAAACAATACACACTTGTAGTTGTAGATGAAGCTTTTCTTACTTACCACCAATCTACCTTCTGCTCAAAGAATCTTAATAAATATAAACCCAACCAAATAAAAACCCGACCCGTTTTAATCAGAAGCAGAATCATAGAAGTCACTAGGACATGGAGTCATGACTTCAGATTCAAGTGTTTGTACTACCCTATGCATTGTGGGCCTCTCTTCTGGTGTTGAAGATACACATTGAATCCCCACTGAAAGAAGAGCATCTAGGGTTTCTGATTCCACTCCTTCACAGTTTGTATCGATGATTTCTCGTTGTCGATCTTCTGTTATTAAATAATTCAACTGCAAAGGGTAAAACCGTCATTTCACATGTATTCGCACAGAAAAAAAAAACCAAACAGTTTCAAACTACAAGGGTAAAAAGGTCATTTACCCATCCGACAATATTAAGGCCTTTCTCAATAAATGACGCATCGGTTGGCCTCTTCCCACTTATGACTTCAAGCATAAGCACCCCAAAACTATAAACATCTGTCTTCTCTGTTGCTCTACCACTCTGCATATACTCTACAAAATAGCAAAATGTATTTTCATTCATTTATTTCTTCTTTACTTAATAAGAAAAAAATAATAATAATAATAATACCTGGAGCAAGATAGCCAAAAGTTCCAGCTACAATTGTTGTGATATGAGATTCTTCATCTTCCAAGAGTTTTGCAAGTCCAAAATCAGAAACCCTAGCCTCAAAATTTCCATCAAGTAAAATGTTACTTGATTTTATATCTCTGTGAATGATTCGAGGTGAACAATCATGATGCAAATAAGCTAATCCTTTTGCAGCTCCCATAATCACATTAAGTCGAGCATCCCAATCTAGAAGCTCAGATTTTTCTGCAAAAAGAAAAAAAAAAAAAAAAAAAAAATTTCAAGAAAATGGAAATTGAAGAAGAAAAGGGAAAATTTGTAAGTTGTTACCATGTAGAGCTTCATCTAGACTACCACCAGATAAGTAATCATATATTAACAATTTAGAAGTTGGAGAGTTGCAATATCCTCTTAGATTTACTAGATATCTGTGTTTAATGCTTCCAAGAATTTCAAGCTCTCTTTCAAAGAATCGATCAAATCCTTCGTTTAATTTTAGTATTCTTTTCAATGCAAATACGTTTCCATCATCCATTGATAGTTTGTAGACTGTTCCAAATCCTCCAGCACCAATTACATGTTCTTCATTTAAAGTTTCCAGCTTTTTTATAATATCTTTTGAAGAGTATGGCAAGTCTCCATGAAACATCACAATCGATGCACCTGAACAACCAATCAAAAAAAAACATTAGAAAGTATATGATATGATCTTTAATTGTTATTAGAAATAGAAATAGAAATGAAATTCACCTCCACCAACATCTACTGCAAGACCTTTGGCATCATTTTTACCGAGTTTTTTGTAAAGAAAACAACCCCAGAAACACATAAGTGCAACAAGAAGCAATGCACCCACAGTAGCAGAAGCACTGATAAGTAGCCTCCCAGAGTTTTTCTTTACATTCTGGCTTCCTGTTTTTATAAAATATACATTTATTAATTCAACAACATAAAATGGTAAGTAATTTATTGATTTAAACAAGGAAAATGAATGTGATAGTGTACTAGATAACATAGAGGCTTTTTTGACTGAATCTGAATAAATGACTAATTTATCCTACTCAACAAATGACTGTTATTATGAATGATCACATTAAAAAATTAAAAACAATGATATATTAATTTTCCTCTAATTGAATTTGAGTTATTAACAAACACGGTTTAGAATAGAAGAAAGAGAGATTAATACAACAATATCCCATAATAATCGAGATATTAGTTTACGCAATAACAAACTTTTATGTAATATTTTGTAGATAAAGAAAGTAATTTTAGTAGAGTTTTTATGAAAATGTTATCTTTAATATTTGGATGAAACTTTTATGCAGCAGATTAGAAGAAAGATACAAGACTGTTTATAAATTTGGAATTTAAGGTAAAGGGTAGTTGGGTTAAATAAAGTCAACCAAAAATGGTTTGACTGAAATTCAAAAGTTATAAAGAAAACCTGTAGGCTGTGAGCCTGTTGAACCTCCATCATCATCTTTGCATAACTGATTAATATGCTTCCCACACAAGCCACGGTTTCCAAGAAAACTGCAAATAAATAAGCAACAAACAATTACAATTTTCTCCTATAATTTGTATATATTATTATTATTATTGATCCCATATATATACACAATTATATAAGCAAGAAATGAGAGTCAAAACTCACGAGGCAGTTCCAAATTGGTCAAGAACACCATCAGATGGGATTGGCCCTGCTAGAAAATTGTTGGAGACATTGCTTCATGATATAACAGAGTGAACACAAAAGTCAACATACAAAAAAGTTTTAGAAAAAGTCAAAAGGGGCTGAAGAATGAAGCATGAAGATAAGCATATACTTACAAATTTAAAAGGCTCCTCAAATTCCCAAGTGATGTGGGAATACTTCCACTCAATGAGTTGCTAGAAACATCCCTGCAACATACACAAACAAACCCTAGTTTTAACTTTTAAGAAGAAGAAAAAAAAATATTTATTGTGGACAATATTTAAGTAACTTACAATGTTTGAAGATTCGAAAGATTTCCTATTTCAGTAGGAATAAACCCACTTAAGTAATTATTCTGCAAAAATCTGTCATAAAAGAACATTATTTTACAAATATAAAATAAAAGATTACCTTTTTCCTATTTCATATACTAAAGTATTGTACTTACAAGCCTTGAAGCTCTGTACAATTTCCCAACTCTGGAGGAATTGCCCCATAAAAGTTGTTGTAATGAAGATCTCTACATCATATGATATAATTATATATATATATATATATATATATATATATATATAGCATCAGTAGTTAATTGCATGCTATATTTGTAAATAATAAGCACAAATGTTGAAACTTGAAAGATCACTTACAAAAATTTTAAATTATCTAGCCTTCCAATATCTGGTGATATGGGTCCACTCAACTTGTGATTGGAAAGATTCCTGTAAAGTTATATAGAAGAAATGTTAAGGTTTATAGTTTGCTGACTTGGTGATGATGTGGCACCAAAAAGCTTATTGAAAACTCTCCTAAAAGAGTAGTTAATTTAATACATTTAAGATAAAGTGTGAAGTATTGAGATCTTACAGATATACAACTCTTTTGGTCTTTAAATCACATGTAACCCCTTTCCACTCACATGGATCAGGATCTTCTGGCCTCCATTGATGAAGCATACCATCTGAACTAATAATGTTTGTTCGGAAGTTTACAAGAGCTTCACCTGAAAAGATACAGTAAATATTACATTTCAAATATAAGGCAAGTTCTTGTGAAGTTATCAATTCACAATAACACCTTCAAAAAGCTTGAGATGATTAACAATAACAAAAACTGAACAGATATGACATAAGATTTAGCATGTGATTCACAAATCTTTTTGTTGAGGTTTACAACTTCTCATAGAATGTAACATTAGAATGGTTCTTTAGAAAAGCCAAAAAGAAAATAGAAATTGGATATTCTGACATGACTTATTGGATAAAAAGATAAACTAATGTTAAATTTAGTACATAAATCGATTGACATACCATCACTAGTGAGACATTGGAGTCTTTCCACCAGCAAGCAGAGTGATAGAAAGTAGAATAGCAATGGCCCCTGAAAAACTGTAAGGAGAATGCCCATTGCTGTGGTGATAAAGCATAATAAAGTTCCTACAACTCATCTGAGGCACTAGGTGCACCCCATCAACATGCAACCATATGAAGATATCTGTCAGATAGACAAGCTTCATCAATGATCATATAAGGAAGAAATTAAACTAAAAAGTTAAAATAGCCCTTACATTCTTGTGAAAATAGGCTACAAAAGCATAACAATTCAAATACAACGGCTTTCCAGTAGGTGCAGAATGAAAGGATGAAGAAAGTATTAAAAGTAAGCCCTGGATTGGCACGTAGCTTTGGAAACAGCTTATGAGAACTATGCTCCTGCAAAAGATAATCCAAGTAAATGACATATTTGTAGAAGGTAAGGGTTTTGAATGCTATATGTTTATCCTACAACACTATGTTTGCCATGAATAACATCAATCCTGCTCCACATACCATAACTGACCACAAGCCATTTCAATAGGCTACAATCTTCAGGTTTGACATTAATAAAAGACTATCCACACGTATCCCAGAAAAAAAGAGGGAAAAGACCTAACATTAACAGACACTGCACCAAGCTAAAAAGATGCAATGATTCGCAAACAGTTCTTTAACAGAACAAAAACATAAAAACTATCATTTTTAAGTGATCAAAATCAGAATGTAAGCAAGTGAAGTACAAGTGGAGCTAATCTTATTTGATTTGGGTAAATTTACAACAATCCCAGCTCAGATTAGATCGGAAAAAGGTAAATTAACAAAACGTGAAGTGATACCTTGGTGTGGATCTGCGATTGAACAAGTGGGAATTGAAAGTTTGAGGTGGAAAGTAGGGAAAGAGAGAAGAGTATGAGAAAAGTAGAAAACAATCTAGATTTGTGCGATTGAAGAAAGAGAGAGAGAATATGGTTAGGGATTGATTAAAAAGGGGGGCGTGAAGGAAGAAGAGATGCAAGTGGGAAAAGAGTGTCCGTACTTGCGACCGACGCTTGGATTGCGTTGCTACTCCACTGCTTGCAACTTGGACTGTGTACTAAACACCAACGCATTTCATTTCTTTTATAATTTAGCCCTTCACTTTTCAAATCTTTTACAAAAACAGTCCACCTTTTAAAACTTATTTAAAATTTTGATTTGGTTTTTGATAACTATTTATTGTAAAAGACCTATTTAATTTTGGCAGGCATCTTACGTAGTTTTTGGTCAAAATAAAGCTACGATAGTCAACTTTGGTAGTGATATTTATTTAAGCATTTAATGATTGTTTGATGTAATTTGTTTTTGGTTTGGTTCTTGTAATTATGCTGGTGTTTATTATTGGTAAAATAGGTTGGCATCTTCTATATGTTTTATTAATTAATACAACTGATTATCATTTATCAATTTCGAGTGACTTAAAAATTCGTTGTCATATTTTTTATATAAAAAGTTAAAATAGTTAGTTTTTATGAAACAATTAGAAATAATACTATTAACAGCCGGTTATAGAAAATTGTGTATTAGCTTTTCTTCAGTTCATGCATGTAGTCTATATTTTTAATTTTGTTCAGGAAAACTACTCATGATTTTATTTCGTTGCAATTTTAATCCATCTAGTTAAAAATACATAGATGTTAATTCCATATGAATGACTATTGTATCTCTCATTTTGTCTTTTATTTTTTTTATTTTTTATTTTTTTGTTTTAATTACTTATTCTTGTTATTAAATTAAAATGTCATATATTATATATATTCAAAATCTTTTATTTCTAATAAATATCTTTATAAATTTTTGTGATTATTTTTTTCCTTTTCACCATGTATTTTATGTATGTATTTATACCCCTCAATAATAATATTAATCTTTATCTGGTGAAATCATTCTACCCTAATATGGTATCAACCTAAATACGATCCCCTCTTCTCAACCCTATCTTACCGCCATCTTCCCTCTCAAAATTCTTCAAAGACCTTCCTCATGTCGACTTCCAGTGACTCTATCCTACCTATGGCAACCCTTCTCCACATGGTTACTATCAAGTTAACATCATCTAACTATCTTTTATGGCGAAATCAGGTTGTTCCTATCTTAACTCAACAGAAGTGGCTTTCTTTTGTTGATGGTTCCTCTGTGATACCAGAAGCCACAATCACGTCAGAATGGAAAACAACAAAACAAAAAATCCAGCACATTCATTTTGGGTTGAAACTGATCAAAGGGTACTTCTTCTTCTACAATCCTCTCTTACTGATGAATCTATGGCCAAGGTTTTAGGCCACGCTACTTCCCGTTCCCTCTGGTGTGCCCTAGAATCTGCGTACAGTCATGCTTCTAAAGAACGAGCTCAAAATCTCAAAGTCTCTCTTCGCCAATTAAGAAAAGGTGATTCATGTGGTTCTGAATTTGGTAGAAAATTTGAGTCTTTATGTGATCAACTAGCAGCTATTGGTCAACCCGTATCTATTGATGATAAATCTCACTGGTTTCTTTGTGGTTTGGGACTTGCCTTTGAAACCTTTTCCACTGCTTACCGTATTGTCCAGCTCACACCTCCTTATTGTGATTTACTAGCACAAGAAGAAGGACATGAACTCTTTATTCGTTCACTCCATGGTGATTCCACTCCTCATGCTGCCTTCACACCATCTTATCAATCTCCCACTGCCTCTCCAAATTCCTCTCGTGGTCGTGTCAGGTTGTAACATCCCAAAATTCATGACCAAAAATTTCATTTTTAATATAACTAAAACACATTTGTAACTTGGTTCACACATTTAAAAGCATTTCAAATAAAACATTTATCAGAGTTCATTCCCAGAAATCACATATTGCTACATAGGTGTATGCGTTGCGATCGTCTCGAGCTCCTTTATTTGAAAACTGGAGGTACCTGAAACCAAAACTGAAAATCGTAAGCATGAAGCTTAGTGAGTTCCCTAAATACCACATACCATACATATCAACATATTGCCTAGCATATCTAAGTGTTGGCCTACCCCTTCAGTCTCTTTCAATCGGATACTGTCTAGCATATAAGCACATAAATCACATACTGTCATACATAACCATGAGTCATACATATCGTTCATATATCATAATCAATAAAGATGTTATGTGCCGATACATAGTTTTGCTTTTATGCCACGGGTCGCCATGTGGTCTTTCTTGCCAAGCCGGGGGCCACCCCCTGGGTCTTACAGACAAGTGCCAACAGCCACTTCCTGGTCTTCCATGCAAGCATCACAAAGACAACTAGAATACATACTATTCTACTTAGCTAATTAGCATACAGTGTGCCAGGAGCCACCTCCTGGTCTTTCATACATAATGCTTAGGGCTAACCCTCGGGTCTTGCTATCATACATAATAGCATACAGTGTGCCAAGAGCCGCCTCCTGGTCTTTCATACATAATGCCTAGGGCTAACCCACGGGTCTTCCTACAACACATAAACCAAATGGGTCGGTATTGGTGCCTTCGACCCATACAAACAGTGAGGAGACTCACCTCGAATGCAGCAGCTCCATGGAAGAAATCCTTAGTTGCTGTCCACCGGCTTTCCTAGTTATCAATACTAGAACCAGATAAAATCTTAGTTAATAGGCCAAAACCCTCAAGTTTGGCCCAAGGTCAAACTTGGTCAAAAGTTAACGGTCAACGGAAGTTAAAGTCAACAAATCAAACTTCAGGCTAAGTATGCCCATCGTACTTAGCTCGTACGCATGGCGTACTTACCAAACAGAATCGAGACCCCATACAAGTACGCGCAGCGTACTCGAAGGTACGCCCGGCGTACCCGGCCAAATGGCACTTTTCCATTAAGTGCTTAATCTCTTAAGTCCTTTCATCCAACACTCAGATTTAGTCCCACAACATCGTTATCTACGTCATAAAGTTTCCACCTTTATGACTTTCCATGTCTAGAAAAAGGTCCAAAAGCTAAAACCTTAACTTATTAATCCATTAAGACATCATGATACTCTCATGGAAGGTATAGAAGGATCAAGATTACATTTTTATGGATCCTAAAAGCTCCATAATGGATAAAGTTTCCAACTTTATCCATTAGAATGGTCCAAACCACTAAGATCTAGCCTTTAAGCGTCAAATGGAACCAAAAGTGCATCTTTTTCAACTTAATCCATTAAGTCCAAGTCTCCAACCTTCAAATCTGAATCACAATGATGTTTAGATGGATAAAGTTTTCAACTTTATCCATAACAAGGTCACAAACTTTCAAGATCTAAACTTTATGCACTAAAATAACCAAAAGCTTATAACATCCAAAACTAGCTAGATCTAACAAATGTATCATCAAAATTCAAACTTTATACCTCTAGAAGATAGATCAAGGTGAACAAAGTCCAGATCTACAAGCTCCAATGCAACCAACACTTCTACAAGAAGTTCCTTCTTTTCCACGGTGCACCATGCATACTCCAAAGCACTCAAAATCACCTTCTTTTAGCTTACAAGGCTCATCTAAGGTTAGGGTTTCATGAAAGGGGTGTTGGAGGGTGGAGGCTGAGAATGGAGTGGGTTTGGGGGAGTTAAGGAGCTTAAATATGGATTAAACCACGAAAATAGGGTTTGGGCACTGATTGCGTACACCCAGCATACTCCTGGTACGCCCAGTGTACTCATGATCCCATTAATACGCCCAGCGTACTCAGCTTGGCCCAAAACTACCCAAACTTTAAACGGTCATAACTTCTTCGTTCTAACTCCGTTTTTGACATTCTTTATATCCACGGAAAGGTATTGAGGAGATCTACAACCCTATCTAATTACTTTTGACTTAAAACACATCGAAATAAAATCCATAATTCATAAAAGAAGTTTGAAACACCACATTCCCATTTTACCCTTTGACTCCAAAGTGCAAACCGAACTATTGGGTCACATATCTACATTACCCACATCCAAATGGGCCTAAATCTTACCTTTTCAAAGGCCATAATCCTTATAATGGCCGCTCTTCGGGCCACAACCTCGAATTAGGAATTGATTCGGAACAGGGCGTTACAACTCTCCCCCACTTAAATTAGATTTCGTCCTCGAAATCATTCACTACCATCCCCTGCATATCAGGCAACCTGAGCAACACAACCACAATCATGTGAATACCACAGCCTTCCCAAGGCAACCGAAACCAAACCTAGCAGAACTCTCCAAACCCAAATAGAACGAATCCTTAATCCCTTACAAAGGACCACATCTACCCTTCCGAGACCTGAAATTTGCATTGGTCTGACTCCTCGATAGACCGCCCCCGTTGAACCATTACCGTGCCAATTCCTTATCGAATAACTGATCGAACAACCACTTCCGGTCCTGATTATCTCGGTGTTACCAACCAAATGAATTCACTTACCATATCCAGATGCCGAATGTCCGTCTTAACAGATAGTCCAAATAATCCTTCGAGTAGAGGATCCATCTCTGCAACAGTTAGACTCAGACGAGAGCTGCGCAGAAGAGTCAAATCGATTACTCTATTATTATTTAATCCCACTGCAAGTGGCTTAGCATCTCCCGGTCAACGACTACTCCACATAAGGATCCCAAATCACTACCGCTACTCGAAATACCATATCACCGTCTAGCTGCTTTCCATATCAACCATGACTTCACTGGATCCCAATCTTGCCTGCCACTATCCGAAATATCAGATTCCTGCCCGGTTGCTGAGCCAACAAGCAACCTTGCATTCGCTTGTAACATACACGTTCAGTTATCGTGTTATGTAATTTTAAAAGTGAATAATATTATGAAATATTATATAATTATAAGTATTGAGTTCTAACGGATAGTTTTACTAGAAATGAAGTAAAACTATGTTTAGAATCACTCGAAAAATATTGGAAGTCTTATCAGATTCCAATCAAAAGGCAAATATTGAAATTTAACGAAAATATAAAATTTGAAATAAGTATAATTTTATTATTGAAAGTTGTAAAGAATCTTGTTAGAAACATTTAGGCGAAAACCTCATCAAAATCCGAGTTATAATGAAGAAGTTATGACAAATCGAAGATCCACGACAAAACCGGCACGGCGCCGAATG